AAAAAAAAAAATCTACTTAAAAGTAAAATATCACTTATGCGTAAAAAAATTTCATATAAAAAGCTATAAATCATAGTTATCAGACCCAAGCTGATCATCGACTTGGATAAATTATCGGGTCACCTGGTCAATAGTCCAAACTGGAGACTAGTTCGAAAATTGGAGATGCTTGTATTTATAGGAAAAATCCAGACGGGTGGTTGTACCGTGCTGAAAGGTATTTTGAAGTGAACGGGTTGACATAAAAAGAAAAGGTTAGGGTAGCAAGGGTCACCCTTGACAGAGATGCATTAACTTGGCTTCAATAGACCGAAGTCAGAACCCCATTTCAAACGAAAGTAGTTCTAGCGGCTCCTAATACTTCATTTTTTACCCTCACAAGAAGGAAACTTATGCGAAAAATTTCTAAGTTTACGGCAAATGGGTTTGGTAGAAGAATTCTGGTGGAACTTTGAAGGCCTTGCAGCATCCTTACTAAGCATTCCAAAAGAGATTTTGGAAAGCACATTAATAGAAAGGCTAAGTCTAGAAATCAGGGCTAAAGCAAGATTGCATAGGCCAAGTGGACTGGGCCAAATAATGGAGGTGGCCCAACAGATGGAAGAAAGAAATATGATCTTAGAAGTTGCTAAAGGGCTTGCAGGTACAAAACTCTTCAAACCGAGACTAAAAGGAGAAGAAGCAAAGTTGTCGGAGAGCTTTCCCACACGAGTAGTGACCATGGGGAAGAAATCGCCAAATCAGTGTCAGGAATTCCAATTAAAAAGATGTCAGAGGCGGATAGGGAGGGAGAAGGGCTTGTGCTTCCGTTGTAATGAGAAATACCCAGTTGGGCACATCTATAAGAATAGGGAGCTGCGGGTACTGTTGGTGCAGGAGGAGGATGGGGTTGATGGGGATGAAGAGAACACCCAGACGAACTGCCTACAAGTGGAAGTAGCAGATCAAGCAGAGCTTTTGTTCAATTCTGTGGAGGAGCAGACTACTCCAGGAACTATGAAGATGATTCTGGTTATTGGGGAAAAGGAGGTGACATTGTTGGTGGATTGTGGGCCAACCCACAATTTTATCTCCCTCAATTTAATGCAACAACTGGAGTTACCAACCAGAGACAGGACTAATTACTGGGTTATCATGGGTAAGGGAGTGGCGCTTAAAGGGAAGGGGATTTGCAAGGGAGTTATGCTAGAGCCGCAAGGACTGACTATGGTGGAAAATTTCTTTCCCTTTGGAATTAGGCAGCACTGAGGTGATCCTGGGTATGCAATGGTTGGGCACTTTAAGGAACTTGGAGGTCAATTGAAAGCTTTCAACCATGAAGTTCCGAATGGATGAGACAGTAAAAATACTGAAAGCAGATCCAGGAATTAACAAAGCAAGCGCGTCCTTCAAAACAATGATGAAAACCTTGCAACAGGAAGGTCAGGTGGATTTGGGTGGAGTTAGGGAGCTTTTCTGCAGCGACTAATGAAGGGAGGAATAATGACCAGCTGCATACAACAGGTCCTTTGACGTCATCAGCAAATTTCTGATGCTAATTGGGAATGGATTGGAGCATTGGAGCAGGTGTTAGGGGTGCGCCAATCTCTTACAGGGCAAATTCTGGGGCTCGAAGTCTTGTTTCAATGGAAGGGACTGCCAAACTTTGAAGCTTCTTGGGGAACCGGTGGCATCAATCAATCATCATTTCCCTGGTTTTCACCTTGAGCACAAGGTGTCTTTGGAACCCCAAGATATTTATAGGCTACCTATCAAGTTCACCTATTCGAGAAGGTCCAAGTAGAATTCAGAGAGTAACAACATTCTGCTAGCTTAGCTGGCAAGGTGGTTACAGGACTATTATAAATAGAGATGAGCTAGGAAGGAATAATGGCTATTTTTTATTTACTTTTATTTGTAATTCTCCGCAATCAAATCAAAGAGCTTTATTAATTTATGTTCTATTTCTTCCAGTTAGAACCCTAACAATATGTCACTACGTTACTATTCAAATATCAATTCCATTGACAAGCTAACGATCTGTTCCGACTTTCTCAAAAAAGAACTTAAGCATGCTTGATGCTACATCATAATTAAGTATACGGAAGGTAAGAACCCCGTGTGTAATGTGACACATAAATTGTGCATGGAGGACGGGAATCTCTTCAATTCAAGAATATGAAATGCCAATGTTCTTTGCAGGCGTCTTCTCTTATTTACCTTATGCATCAAACTCTGCATTCTTAGCAGAGGAATCAAAAGACTCAACCCTATCACAAGACCACCAAGGTGTGCTTCAGTTAAGGGAGTGATCAAGGTGGTGCTTATAGCTAGACTTAAGGAATAAGAAATACATTTCCACAAGAACAATTATTGATTAATTTGTGAGGGAAGGTGGCGAGAAAAAGGAGGAGGAAGATCAGGAAATATAAAAACAATCATCAGTAAAGTCATTTTCCATCATGGTAAACATTTTGCCATTAATCTATATCATTCTTAGCTTACTATATCTGATTGTCAAAGTGATGTGCCCAGAAGCAAACCAAAATTGCTTGAAGTGATTTTTCCCCTTTTCTTATCTGTTATGAGACATCAGCTTATCAAGTTAAACAATTCTTTAGGGGCTGGGAGTTGACATCTTTTAAAAACCGATTTACATAATAGATGAGTTTTCTGAATCTGAAATTACAAATGAGATGAAGACAAGACATCTTATGAACCATCTACAGTCATAAGATCAAAACTTGGATACCTCACAAGGATCTTGGAAATGCCACGTATGTAAACTAGCTCAATAAATATATGGTTACTAATTGGGTAGTAGTTATAAACATGAGGTTAAAATTACTGTTTGACTAAGATTTAATAAAAATAGTAACTTGTAATTTTACACGAACAGAGGCATAAATAGTAATTTAACAAGAATACTGAAAACGTCATACAAGCCACCAGGGCATAATATCCCAGTAGCACATAAAAATATGAAAGAAAATAAGGACGAGAAGAGTTACCTTCAAATCTCTTGTCTCACAGTTCTGAAACGCTTGAGTGAACTGTTTTTCAGTTAACCATGAACAGTTCTTTATTCGTATCTCAGTGGGGCATCCATTTACTAAGAGGTCCAAGATATGCACATCCATTTTCCGGATATCACACAGCAAATCAGTCAATCGTTTCTTAAGCATATCTGGCACCAGTTCAAGTGATACGATTCCCTCGGCGTTCTCTGCTAAAGCTTTCAAAGAAAGATCCAACAGTGAAGGAACAAGGGGCACCGTGACACTATGACCACGATTTTCTTCTGCAGATTTCCACTCAATCGACTTTTGAGCACCTAGCCTAGCATTCCGTGCTCTTATCATCTTAAGTGCATCAGAAAAGGGTCCAGGAGAATGTCCTACCTGTACATCAGCTTCTAAAGGAGGCAATTTGTTTTCCTGACCTGAAGATCCACTTCCAAATTCCTCAGTAAGGTAATCAACGCGTGCTAATTGTTTAGCACTCTGTCTTGAAACTCCACGGTACCTAACTGCGCCTGGTTCTACTCTGATCAAAACCCCAGCCCTTTCATCCCTATCAGCTAATGCTGGTTGCTGCTCTTCTCTAAATTCTATAGATGCAGTTCTTAACAGATGTACATCTTCCCAATGCTCACTAACTTCAAGTAAGCCATCCCTGTCAGGCCATAAATCTAAATCAATTGGATAATTAGGCCCAACCGATAAATCAATCGGATAATTAGGCCCAACAGATAACCAAGGATCCACAGCCGGAGCCTTACCCTTCTCTTCCTTGGTATATCTCTTCTCACCACCACTTGCTAGACTGCTTTCACCAACAATTGTCTCCATCCCAATCATTGCTAACCCAAGGTTCAAATTTTCTGCACTATCAGATAACATCCCGACCTCAATTTGCTTACCCTTTTCGATATCATCATTTTTATAAGCTACTATTTCCACCTCATCATCACTATCATCCGATGTAATGTCTATAATTTGCACTTTCCTCTCATTGATCGCAGGTTGGTATTGTGTATATTCTTGAAAGACCATTTCCGTCCCATCATCTTTCATGTCAGAGTTCTGCACACTGGGCACATTAATATCAAAATCAAACCTATTTTCCTCTTTCCCCTCATTAAAAATCCAATCAAAGTTGATATCAAAATCCCATTTGTTCTCATCATTGGCACGAAGAAGACTTGAATCCTCTGCAAAACTACGAGAAACCTCATTCCCAACCAAGAAATCATTTTGATTTATTGCTCCAACACCCACTTCTCCATTCTTAATAGCACCCCCCCTTTTTCCACCATCCATTGCCTCAAAACCCCTGTAGTTCTCATCGGTCCCATCCAAACACCTAAACTTCTTAAATCCCGACATTTCGTTTCCCCCTTCAGAATTTCCACTTACTCTCTTCATCTCAGTCAAATAAATTGAAAACTGAATCAAAACTCTGCCAAAAATCAAGGGTTTTCTTTAAAATCAAAGAAAAAAATTCATGGGAGCAAAGCTCTGCATCAGAAGACCTTTCTTAAACCCAAACTTTTCATTTCCCCCCTTCAAAATCCACTTACCCTCTTCATCTCAATGAATCTAATTTAAAATTATAAATTATATAAAAACTCCGCATAAAAACAAAGGAAAAAGAATCGTGGGATTTGATTATAAAAAATACAAAAGCTCTTCACCCCAATCAATTTGAAGATTGAAAGTCCAATCAAAACTCGAAAATCAAAAAGGGAAATTAATCTTTTAAATATGACTCGGGAAAAAAAAAAAAAAAACTAGGGGTTTGATCAGAGAGGAAACTTACATTTTTCCATCAGAAAACCAAGAATCCAAAAAAATCCCTCCAAATCAGACAAAATTGACGATGAACAAAAAGAGACCGACTTAGGATGGTAACGCATAAAGGGTGATTAGAAAGAGGTTTAAACTGAATTGATCCCACGGTTTTACAATCATTCAAAATTGGTTTTGTGAGGGCATTTAAGTAATGTGTGGATAGATATAAATAAATCCACAGATAAGAATATCGATAAAAATATCGGTGGTATAAATAAACGAAATTGAATGCGAAGTCATTGACGAAGACTTGTGTCGAATATTGGGAAATTGATTAATGGAAAGAAAAAGCAGCAGAAAGAAGGATTCACAGAATTTGTTGGGAAATTGCTTGTAATGGAACCATAGAAGGTGGCTTTCTCTTTGTTTTCTTTCCCTTTTTGTGGTGAGTAGGACTCCATGTAAACACGCACGCGGCCCCACCGCCGGCACCCCGCCAATCCGGCCCCACTCCGCGTATACATAGATATATCAGTATGTATATAAATTGATAAAGAAACTAATAAATTTGGGGGAAATTGTAGTACGAACTCTAAATTATTGATCCACTAGGAAGTTTGTCATGAACCTTTAAAATGTAGTAAGTTGGTCCTCAATTTTATTTTAATCGCATAATTACTCCTCAATGGCAAAAAATGTCTAGTAAATTGTCTCGTAGTCATTGTATGTCGAGTTCTATAATTCTAGTAGTCGCTTTACTAATAGCATCTTGAGCTAGCCCTTTTAAATTTTGAAATGAGATGTGTTTTAATGATTGTGACTCGATAAATTAAAGAAGATTTGATATTTTGTGAGCAGAGACTTATTGTGCAATTACAACTACAAAGAGAGCATATGACCAACTTACAAATAAGGCAATAAGTTGGGACCAACTTGCGATTGCGCATGCTTGGTAGGCGTGTTTTAATGATTGTGACTCGATAAATTAAAGAAGATTTGATATTTTGTGAGAAGAGACTTATTGTGCAATTACAACTACAAAGAGAGCATATGACCAACTTACAAATAAGGCAATAAGTTGGGACCAACTTGCGATTGCGCATGCTTGGTAGGCGATTATAATTGAACTAAATTATACCCCCATTTGGCCCCCATCATGTGGCCATTTTATTTTTAGAATAATATTTTTTTTTGGAGAATGTGTGGTTGAAAAAAATGTAAAAATTTTCGATTTACGTGTAATATTATTTTATGAAAAATTATGTGATTGAAAAGAAAAAAGAAAAAAATAAATATTTGGGATAATGGAGACCAAACAAGAGCTATAAATAAATAGACATAAATGGTAAACAAGTAAATAGTATCTGTAGATTCTCATAAATACGAGGATAAAAAGTAAATTGATTGAGTGATTAAAAATGCAACCGTTAAGTAGAACCAATAATATAATTTTCATAAATAAATTATGAGAAAGTTCATTGTGTTGAGACTTTCTTCAACTTCCTTCTATTATTTTCATTATAAGTTGGTGAAAATAATTATGGTATTATTTGGGTCCAATATAGTACAATAACGGCCTAATAAATGAATAGTAACGTACGTTACCTTGAAATCTTATTGTAGCTATTATCATCAATGAGTTAAATTTTTTAGGCAATCTTTATTAGATTTCCCAATAAATATATCGAATATGTATTTGTTTTACATAATCAGAGTAGTGAAGTTTTTTTCTTTCTAAATTCTATAATTGCATTTTTTGGCATGGGTATCATTTAGGGCTTGATAGTCCAAGGATGCTTATATTTACACCAAATTTTTATTTTTTGCACCTCATAATAAGTGCACTTAAGGTTCACATATTTGTTCATTTTAACAATTATGTCTTTAACTTCTTTCTTTAAAATTTTATTTTCAATTTTTCATTAATTAACAAGCAACTTCCTTGACGATGACACTATCAAAATTTTTTGTTTGCGTGCTATGAAATAATTAAAAATATGTCGTCTAACTTTTGTATTTATCGTGTCTTCAAAAACATGATAGGTAAAGAAGACGTCTCCGTCCTCCCATTGAGGTTTTTGGGACAAAAATTTTAATTAGATGTAACATGTGCTAATTAATGAAAGTTAGAGAATAAATATGACAAAAAAAACTCGAGCGTTACAATAGCAAGGATCGAGGACTATAAGAAGAATTAAAATAGTATATAACAAATAATAATTGTGTTGTGAATATAGTTGTCCTTAGTATAATATATATATATAATATTCATTAATAATCTTTCTGTTGACAAATAAAAATTCAGCCCAAATCGAATAGCCCAAGGAGTAAAGCCCAATTGGAGGATCCCCAAATCAGATAGCCCAAAGAACGAAATCCAATTGAACGAATCTGGGTGAAGGTCCAAATAAAGGGCCCAAGAGTGCGGTAACGCCATCGCCCAAATTTGCAAGTCACCCAGAATCTGAACGAATGGAGTGTCATACGGTCGCCCAGAGCTGTTATTCTATTCTCACCCAAATCTTCAAGTTGCCCAAGGTATCAACTAACATAACGCATTGTGGTTATCAAAAAATGCAGTTATCAAGACAGTTGTTAAAGTAGCCCTGTCACGTTCCACAACTTAAGGAATTCAATCGAAAGCGATTGAACGATGAAAAATAATGACAGCGGTTAAGAGGCAGTTTCATGACAAAATGACCGCTACAAAGAAAGTGGGTAGTTATAGGACGATCAAGCAGTTTTCAGAGTAGTTAATCACAAAGAGATCGTCTACGAGGTATAAAAGGAAGAAATGACGTAGAAGCAAGGGACCGAATCCAAAACTCTCGAACAGAGAATATGTAACTTTCATTTCCTTAACTTTTAGATTTAAACACTTTTCTTTCTGTAACTCGTGTGCTTACGCCCCTTGGAGGCACGTTATTTTTCGTTTCCAATTGTAAAGTTCATCGCCAATAAAAGAACACCCCCTTTTTGGGACTTTGTCTCAAGAGGTTTCGTCCCTTACACAATCGTCTGATCCTTTTTAATGGTTAGCAAATTAACCCGCGCGAAACACTTTCATAACAGACATGTACTAGAATTTTACAGTTTTTCGTACAAAGATGTCGAAAAAGAATTAATCTTCATTAACCACAATGTAGAAATTGGTTCTGGGAAATATTCATGCAATCAACAATGTTTCACGCAAGTATTTGAGGAAAGAAATTAGGCCATGTTTGATAGGTCATAATTTTCATGAAAAATGAACTCTACTTTCCACCAAAAATGCATGTTTGATAGGTAACATTTTTTTGGCAATTCATTTTCCCACTTTCATGGCACCTTAGTCCTTTCATTTTTTAAGCTGCTGGCTGATTATTATTATTATTATTATTACTATTACTATTATTATTATTATTTATTTTGGCAATGGAAACAAATTATATCCTTAATTATAAAAAAATATTTTTTCTAATTGACAGTTTTCATGTAAAATAAAGTCAAATGAGCACCAAAAGATAAATAATTTTTTTAGCAATGGAAACAAATTTTATCCACAATACTAGTAAATTCTATCCCTTTAACTGACAATTTTTATGTAAAATAAAGCCAAACGAACACAAAAAAACACTTTTATTTTGACCTTTTTTACGTGAAAAATTATATCAATCACACACAATAATTGACAATTTTCAATAAAACAATTTATAGACAATTCATTTTCCTGAAATTCGTTTTCTTTCCATCCAAATTCTATTTTTGCAATCAAAGGACCCGATAATTAGCACAAAACATACCTAACATTTAATGTTATTGTACAAAACATCCATACATTTCATTTTTTAGTTTTTCACCCCTATTTTTACCTTTCATTGAGAAAAATGTCATTTTCTCAAGAAAAAAAATGAAAAATGACAAATATATCCTCATATTTAAATAAAACAAAAATAAAATAAAATAAAAATTGAAGAACAAATTGCGATTCCACTCCCTTTTTTAACAATTTATTTAGACTCATTTGTAATTTTCTAAAAAGTTTGGAAGTGTAATTGCAATTTGTTCTTTAATTTTTCTTTTCTTTTTGTTTTATTTAAGATAGAAGGATATATTTGTTATTTTACATTTTTTTAATTGAGAAAATGACATTTTTCTCAAAAAAAGGTAAAAATAGGGATGAAAAACTAAAAAATGAAAAATATGGATATTTTGTACAATAACATTGAATGGTAAATATGTTTTGTGTTAGTTACCCAATATAGTAAGAACAACTAAACCAAGAACAATTGGATGTTGCATCCTTCAAGCCTTTTTTTCCTTGAATTTCATTGCTTAGCCCCTATTTGGTACTCGATAAGGGTTAAAACCAAGATTTTAATGTAAATCAACGATTATATTATTTCATTCATTTAAAGTCAGCAACTTTTCAATTACACATTTCATAAAATCTATTAAAAATTTAATTTTAATTCCCGTCAAACAGGGATTTAGGACGTGTCTGGTACCAATTTTTGCTACCGGTGAAATGCTTTTTTTGACCATTGGATGAGGTAAGTGGGACCCAAGCTGCAGTGCTTCAATTAATATGTCAGACATGTAGCTGAAATGTTTGACCATTTTTCGACAAAATGACATTTTTACCCTTATCATTTAATTCTTTTTTAATGATTGATGGGTATTTTCGATATTTCATTTTTAAAATTCTAAAAATTGCTGTCACACATGGGACCTACGTGCTATAAATAACGGGCAAAATTCTCATTACAATTTGGCGAGAAGCACTCCCAGACACGCCCTTAATAAATTCACTAAAGCCCAATTATTAAAAAAAAAAAAAAATCCTACAATAGTACTAGGGACTATAAGAAAGTATGGCAAAGATAAAGGGGATGGAAGGAATAAAATAGAATCAAATGCTAAACGCACTTCAAATGCGTTATATGATTTGCAGTTTAAATGGACTTCGTAAACACCCCAAGACAAAAACTTGCATTTTCTAAAAATTAATCTTTTTGACTTAACTTCAAAAAATTATTCGTTTTACCCATCAAGTGTCAACTTGCCAAACTTCGACTTTGATACAATCAACTCTATTGGTACTTCATTATTTCAAATTAAGAAATAACACATAGAAGTTGAAAGTCACAAGAGGCCAAGGCCGACTTAGTGAGTGTTTGGGGGGGTTTCTCTAAAGTAAAAAGATTTTTTTTTTCATTAAGTCTCGTTTGGTTCCATAAAAAAAAAAGTGAATTAAAATTCAATTCAAAATTAATATTTCATTTTAATCGCGTATTTCATAGAATTCACAACTTTTTCACCACATATTCCATCAATCTTTATCAAAACTCACTAAAAAATGATTTTTATCCAGATCAAATAGGGCTAAATTCGTGA